GAGTTCGTATGGGAAAGCGTTCTGCAAACTTGTTCTCCTTTTTTGCATAAGGAAGTGTTTTTCTCTTGCACATTTTAGCATCACAAATCTTCAGACCCTGACAACATAGTTGCATTTGATAAGGCATCAGGGAGGGCAACGTTTTCGGCTGGCTTAAACTCGTGCGTGACGTCGTGTTGCCCTGGGTGCCAGCTGGTGGCGGAGGTGCAGGAGGAGCTGGACAGGGTGGGAGCGGCGGAGGAGGGAGCGGCGGCGGCGGAGGTGGTGGCAACAATAATGGCACACCGTCGATTCGGTTTGGCGTCCTCTTCGGGCGAGGCGCCGTCGACGTGAGCATTCAGTTGTTGCAGGACTTTGGCATCCCGCTGTTGATCGAGAAGTGGATTTGGCCGGAAGTGAAGAACTACTGGGAGCCGTTGCTGCGTGGCGTGTGGAAAAATATCTTCACGAAATTGCTCTCGGATCATGCAGTTGAAGGCGAAGCGACTGATGCTGACTCAACAACAACATCAGCGTCATCTTCTGGCAATTCTATCATCAACTACCGCAAACTCCTTCTGCAGGAGCAGACCTGCCCTTTCGCGAGAAAGCTCCACTGCAGCCACTACGCGCCCACGCGAGCGGCTTTCGAGAATGCGGCGGTGCACTTCGTAAAAGCAGTGGTGCTGGATACGCAGTTTGGTCCGGGTGAGGTGACTGTGTACCAAGAGCTTGACCGGTGGGAAGCGGAGTTCGAAGTGCATGCCGGCGAAGACACAGGAGTGTTTTCAGCTTCCACAACCACGACGAGCGTAGCTGCTCCCGATGATCATGCAGCTGAAGATAGCGACGACAGTATGCCCTCTACCACAGCGCCGCCGAGTAGTGGCGGGTCGTCGGAAGGGGGATCGACGAGCCCCGAGGGAGCATCGTCTCCTGCGTCGCCGAGTGACGACGTCGAGATGCAGGAAGAGGAGGAAATCATGGGCAGTGGTACTACTGTTACATCAACTGGTGGTGCAAATAATTCTGCCACATCAACGACAGGAAGCGAAGGGGGAAACAACACTACAGGACAGCCACAAACAGCTCCACAAATCCAGCAAGGCGCAGCTGCTACCAACCACACGTCCTCCCAACCAGGTAGTGCTACTAGCCCCCAACAAGTAGATCCAGATATGGCAGCCGCGGCGCAGTTGCTCGAGGAAGAGATGAACCTGGACCCGTTACAGCGGTGGCACAACATGCAGGGGCTTATCCTTGCGAACATGCGGCAAGAGCGCGAGAGAGCGGTCGCGCGTGCGGATTTTAATTTCTTCGGCGTTTTATTCCAAGGGAACGGCTTCCATCCCGGCCAAGCCGTTGAGCAGGGTGTGCAGGCGCACGTTGTCAACAACCCGGTGTGGCAACGGTTGCGGGAGTTGTTTCTCCGGATGTGGAATCACGGCGTCAACCACAATCACGTGCAGAACATTTCCTATTACCTACGGCTCGCCCTGGAGGTTTTCGAGATCATTGCGCAGCTGGCGGGGGACGGTGCCTCGATCTTTCCGTGGCTGCGGGCCATTGCGCAGATCATCGCGCCGCTGTTCCGCTTGCTGTCGGGCGCGTTGAAGATCGGCTCGCTTGGGGAAAAGTTCCCGCCCTTTGCACAGCGGTGGCTCGCACGGGAGGAGAACGAAAAGCAGTGGAGAAGAGCGAAATTTTATCTCGGGAAAACGCTGTGTTTTTTAAGTAGTGGCACATGATGTCTCGGCATGACAGCATGACAAATCTGTTTCGCATGTTGACAGAAAAAGCAGACGTCACGCACAGCCAGTACACCGTGAATGCACATATGTTGAATAAATGCCGCTTCAGGCCCGGCTAGCGTGACGAGCGTATTTTTAATGCTCTTGCTGTGCTGTTAGTACATACGTACATACATGCATTACTTTACAGACTTACGCTCACACAGCTCTTCTCTTGCATAAATGTGAGAAGGTTTTGTGCTCGGCGGCGTTCACCTCTGCAACTGGAACGGGACAGCGTAAAGGCGGTTCTTTTTTGACACAAACCCTTTCGCGCATGAGCGAGTTGCAAAAGAAAATTTTCCATTTCCGGATCCGGGTCGGCATGGATCCCTGTTGGAAAGTTGTCGCCCCGAAAGACCTATTTTGTGCAAAAGTGTCGTCTTTCGCGTACTAAAATTGCGATCATATTGCATGAAAAATAGATGTGTGATCTCGTCCTGGATGACCTTGCAGGATAGTTTGCATTTTATTCTCTTTGATAATATGGCAATTTGTCATCGCAATTTTTACTAGTACGAGCCGATAATTTTGCAATGCATAAGACCACTGCACGTGCCTGTTCAGTGTTACGCACAACGACGAAGTCTTCAACGAAGCCGTGCGACGGGTTATATGCTGTGTAAAAACTAGCCACGGCCCCAATCCAGACTGGTCATACAAATCTGCAAGAAGCTTGAAATGTTTCTCATGAGCAATCCCGACCTGAAAAGCAGGTTCTAACGCTGCCTTACAGTTTGTCATGCTAGAATCAGGATAACGATAAGGAGGTCGATTTGCGATGCAGCTGGAGTTGCACTAGATTCACTCGAATATTACACTGAGATGAGCGCAAACAACTTGTCTTCATGCGCGACAGCAAAAAGCTGTTGTTTTGTGTGGTAAAGCACCCATCTACTTGTTGACTCTTGCGGCGGGGACGTGTTATTTACTCAGGATAGGGCACCAGGGCGGGATATCATCGAGAGTATGCGCAGAATGCTGCTGTTGCTGAGCCCCTCAAGGCCAACTGGTTTGCGCGTCACTTGTCTGCGAGACAGAGGGAAGTGTTTGCCGCCCATGCTGTTCTCGTAGAATCACCGCCAGCTGGACAACAAGGCAGCATTGATTTGGAGCACAGAAGACTCAAATCCGTCGACCTTTCGAAAGATTTCCTGGCGTCACTGTATTTGGAGAAATTCGGTTCCCGCACAGGAGGTGAAGTAAGCGACGAAGGACCCGGGCTGTTGCAGCAGGCACGCAAGAGACGGAAAAGAAACAGCGAGAGGGAACTCGTTGCCGACTTAACGCATACGATCGCCGCAAACATTGCCGAGGAGACACTGCAGCTCACGCACGACGAGGTCGTCGGGCCGGTCCGGGAAATTGCGCAGACGGTGGCGCCCTTCGCGCTGCGCAAATTGGCCAAGGAACTCTGGAAGCCGAAGGGCCAAACCGAAGAGGAGAGTGCCCCAAAACCGCCGCCAGCCAAGCCGGAGGCGAAGGAAGCTATCCACAGAATATTTTATTTCCGTACACGTACGATAATTGCGGACTCTGCATGACAACACTTGCCTGTGATCCTAGTCAGCATAGCAAGCGTCAATACACTTTGGGTTGGCGAAATTTGTATATGCATTTCGTGCGTCGTGTCCGTGTGCGGGACATTTGTGTTGCATACAAGCCGCACAGATATTACCGACAGGAAAGCCGGAGCCGCAGGGAAAACCTGACGGGATTCCCGTCGAAGCAGACTCGGAGAACAACGGCGGGCAGGCCGCAAATAATGTTGCGGGATCTTCTAGACAAGCTGCAGGAAATCTTGCACAAGGACCGCCTGTTGGCAAACAGATTGCTATCCCTCCGTCTAGTACTCCGAAGAACGCCCCGTCCAGTAATTATTCCAGCACTTCTGCATCCACCCGGCCGTGTAACTCGACGTCGAGTACCGGGCGCAGCCGGGCCGGAACATTGACCTCGATGTACCCCGAGGAAGACTTCTGCGAGGGAGGTCCGGCGAGCGCTCCTCAATCCGCGGGGCCGCAGAGCGTCCCTTCTACAACCGGCGGACAGCATGGTGGCAGCTCGCCGCCAGGCGGTGCGGCTCCATCTGCGCCAGGCGTGGGTCCCTACCTGAATGCAGATGCTTTGGCGCGGCTACCCATACCCGTGGCCGGGAATCTTCCCGGTGGTGGAGGTGGTTCTTGTAATGCCAATTTGACCACGAACCAGCAAGGTGGACCACACCAAGCACAGGCTGCAGCGCCTTCAACGTGTGGAAGGTCTTCTTTCGTATCTGCTGTTCCAAATCCCGTCTTGCGCGGCGGGAAGGAGGCCGTGTTTGCTCATGGTCCAGCAGGCGGAGCTTCAATGGCGATGTCCGTAGACAACAGCACAAGAGCTCCGGGAAGCAGTGCGGCGAGTGTGGTTTCATCGAGCTATGCTGCGAGCAGTGCAGGACACACGTCTAACCAGATCCTTATGGCATTCTCAACTGTTACATTCTCAACTGTTACACGGATTTGCTATGCGACATTGCCATCAGCCTCCACTTGATCAAGGTGGGTTGCATGAGAAATCTTCGAAGGACTAAGCAGCATCTAAATCTGTGGAAAATCTGCGATGCGAAAGCTGCAATAATGCCACTTTCAGTATTGCTGTTCTTCTTCTTGCATTACAAGTCCATGTAACAGTTGAGAATGTAACGTTTGAGAACGCCATAATCCTTTATGGTTCGTCGGCTACATCCACCACTACCGCTTCCCCGCTGTCTGCGCAGGGAACGGGTGTGCTGGTGTCTACTGGGCAGGTGTCCTCAGTGTGTAGTAGTTCTACTGGCTGCAACTACTACAACAACGCGAGTTGTTCTGGTGTCCTCTCAACAGCATCGGCTGGAGCTGCATCACCCGGTGCGCCGCAGCAGGCAGCCTGCGGTGCAATGAATTCCCCTGCGCCGGCGCAGGAGCCACAATCCAGCATTTCAGCAGGCGGACCACCTTTACACCCCCCCGGCGGAGCAACAACATCAACTCCAGGCGCGCCGAGTACCAGTGTTCCGTCGTTTCTGCGGCTAAAGATCGACCCAACTACTAACCCGAGCAACCTCGTGGCCCCGCCCACACATGACACAGACCCGTACGGAAGTAAATCGAAAGCAGCGCGAAGAGGGCATCTACAAGCATCTGGAGACGAATTTTCGCCCACGACTATTCTAGCGAAAAGACGGAAGTTCGACGCACCTCCGGGGACAGCCCTCGAACCGTTCCCGCCGCTTGTTGGGGGAGAAAATTCTGCGGGCGGAAGTAGTGTTGATACGTTTCTCCCCGGGGCCGCGAGTAGCGGTGGCGGCGGTCCGCCGCGGCGCCCGGGCGGAAATGGCGAGGACAAAGATCATATCCACTGTAAATGTGATGTCTGGGTCTGGAACATTGGAACTTGTCATGCAAAATTTGGACCGCACAGAAATCTGTGTTGCATGAGCGGCTGCAATGAGTGTTTCCCTAATTGTGGTTGACGAGCGAAAACGAAAAGCGAATCTGTCATGCGGAATACGCATTCAGAATCTCTTGCACAGTCCTCTGATGTGAAGATGCTTCTGGGTGCATTCCCGAGGCGGGCTATCTTCGTGTTCGACATCTAGGAGATGCTGATGCATGACACACCTTGTACTCTACTTCCAGACCCACACCACATTTTTGCACGTGCATATGTGAACATCCGGGTGACGGACCCAACAACAACTCCGGGGCGGGGACAGCACAGGCGCAGCTGCAAACCGTAGCGGAAGAAGATGAGACTGAAGAGGACGAGGGGGGGCAGGCTAGCGACGGATCATCTTCCCCCGGTGGGGACGCCTCGTCGCACGTCAGCACCGAGCACTCCATGAACGCCCTCGAGAACAACACGCCGTCTTTCGACATTCCGCCGCGGCGGAACGCGACGATAATCCCCGCCGGGGTCCAACTACTTCCTTCACCAAAAGGTGGGGCCCCCGGAAGTTCATCCTCATCCTCATCCTCTGGCAGCGCAAGTTCATCCTCCTCTTCTTCAGCTGCATTTAGTTCTCCTCCAGGACCACTGCAGATGATGAGTCACAACGGCGGGGGAGGTGCAAGCGCAGGCGGGCTTCGTCAAATGGACATCGACCAGTCGCCTGATTTGTCATCGATCTCGCGGACATCCACAGCTGGACGGGAAACGGTAAACTCCGAAGGCAGCGGCACCTGGAGCAGCGGCGGTCAACACGACAACCATGCCTCTACGTCGCCTTCCCGCAATTTATTCTCCCCACGGGGTGATCAAGAAGGCTGTGCACCTACAACTTACAGCAATACGCACATCGGGGGACAAGGGCTGCATGACCAACAAGCGGGACCGAGCAGCGGGTCTTCTTCCTCTTCCGCGCCGGCAGCTTCTGGTGCGAGCAGCACACCTGGTGGCGCGTCTCAACAATTGTCCGCGAACACTGTGCTGTCGCCATCGTCGGTTTTGGAAGGTGCATCGAGTGGAGTGTTCCTGCCGCTGCCGAAAAACCTTCCTGCGGCAGCTTCGTCCTCTGCCTCGTCGCCCCAGGCTGGCAGCAGCTCGACGTCTACGTCGGTTGGTGGTGTCGTCCGGGGTCGTGGCCTAGCGCGGCAACATGACAACAGTATTGTAAGGAAAAATCCCCCCTCCCCATATCAAAACGGAATTTCTGATGCTGGATTGGTGTACACGAATCAGCTTTGTATTGCAGAGAGGCATTGCGGCCAGATCCCCAGGCTAGGTAGGGGC